TCAGCAAAACTGTTCAAGGATTTTGCCCAGAGCTCATGTGCAAGTGCTTAGAAAATCTCTCTATATATACACACACTATGTTTAGGAGGAATTAGATGGAGCTAGAACTCTGCAAAGTAACTCTATGACCTTTCTTTGCACGTGTGCACAGTATCTGAGTTTTAGATTAAAACTGCCATAATCACGTGACCTGACTGCACCACTGTTTGGAGGATGCAGAGGTTTAAAGTTACAGATTTACAAATTAGCTTTAAATACACACAGTGTAGCTGCATCACACACATCCTTCAGCCGCAGCTTAAAAAACTGTTATTTGTTTTAAGGAAGTGGTCTTTTTAAACATTTTATCAGTTACTCTCCAGACAAGCAAATCAATACTTGATGAGCATTAATTTTCTGCGCTGGTTTGTTCTCCTCGTTCTCAAACATGCCTTCCATGAAAAATACATTTGTTACCCGACTCTGTTGCCATCCAAGACTGCCGAAGGTCGAGCTGTGAATTTACTGCAACCGTTTGTCTTGCTTGCTTGGCAGAGGGCGCTTTGTCAGTGTTAATGTGGTAAGTGTGGAGGTGCAGCCTTCCCAGTTTATTAACATTTGCGAGCGCAAAGAAAAAAAAAGAAGAAAAAAGCATGGTCATCTGGATGAATGCAACATTCATTCAGGATCTGGCAGGGCGAGAAGGGTGATGTGCAGTGAGATGGTAGGGCTGATTGGCTTGGGTGAGTGCCTAAAGACACACTTGTAGCTTACAAAGTGTATGTCATCTTTTGTTTTTGCAACCATTTTTACATAATAGAAGCACACAGAGTGGACACTAGTCCTGTGGTAATGATATACAGTGTTTTGATGATTTTAAAATCTATGACAGGTAATTGATTTCAAGCCTGAAAACTAATTGCTAGTTATCAAAGTTTCATATTTAGAAGTTGTTTTTTTTCCCCATTGATATGATCCCTTTGTACAAGAAGAGGGTATTGGGATTGGGATCCAGTGAGTCCTGCAGGATCTAGTGAAAATTTTGCAAGAGTATAGGTGGCTTTAATTTTTCTGCAAGCGGTCAAAAAAATCAACTGCAGGTCCCAAAATTTACTGCAACCAAAAGAATGGAGTCAAAAATTTCTTTTACAATGCGAATAACACAGCACGTCCAGCATGTGGATGTATTTCCTTGTTGTTCCTGACAGACATTACAAAGAACTGGTCTTTGCTGTACAGATTTAATATGTAAAGTGTTGATTTACAACAAAGATCTGCCACCTCTGGATTGAGCCATCACCTGCTCCGTTCTACCTGGTCAAAGTAAGCTCTGCTTTAAACATGAATCACTTGTTCTTGCAGATTTAAACAAGATGCTATTGAGAAATGGATAGAATGTGTACTTACTGTCCAAGAGTAACAAAATATGACTGTTATGTCTTATACATGTAATCGGAATTTTCCTAGAATATCACTGATAGCTTCTCATCTCTTTATGAATATTACACTGTAAAATCATTTTCCACGTGGGACACAAAATCAATGGAACTCTATTGTGTGGACGTAAATGTTTGCGGATGCAGTTAGGAATGGACATGTTAAATGTGGGAGCGGATGGAAGCGGGATTAAGAAAACAGTCCTCTACTTTCTGTCTTAACATGCTTCCTCTAGAATCCTAGATTGCATGGATCTATGAAGTCCCTGCCTCTCTCTACACACACCTCTCCCCAAGCGCTACAACCTGTGAACCCCAGCTCACCTACGACTCTGCTCAAACACTATAAAGCTACTCTGTGATTAACAATATCCAGTTGTAACATTGGAGAAATTAATGTTGGAACCTTATGGTTGACAGGATTGTTTCTTTAAGGTTTGTACATATGAAACCCCGGAAGCCTGCAGCTTCATGGTGCTGACTACTTGTTTCCTTCACGATGTCTTCCAGCATATAAAAACACCATATGGACAAGGTAGCAAGGTAAATAACTTGATTTTCACAGGAGGGTGCCTTTAAGCAAAAGCGGATTTTAAGAAGGTTTTTATAGCTTGTCCAGTATCTATCAGATACAATCATAACAGAGAAACAGATACAGTGCAGTGCCTGATGTTCTGCTAATGTTTAATTTAACAGACTAAATTCTATAAGCACAATAAGGCTTTTGGAGTGAGCCAAAATGAGCCTGTCATCACTTCTTCATCCAGCTGCTTTTGCTATGTGACTGTAGTGCATCATCTGGTGGCACTTATGGCAACCTACCATCAAGGAAACGCATCATTTCAGATACGAAAACCATGTACTTCAACAGTGTACTTGTGTAAAGTAGCACAACTGTGCTTGCACATGCAATATTTAAATTGCACATGATGTTCAGCTGGAGGGAATGAGAGTTCTAGAGTGTTTTGCAGGATGTCAAAGAGGTTCACGGCGAAAAGGACCTGCGTTCGAATGTTGGCATTAGTTTGCATAATGTTCTCCTGCACAGTTGTTTCCCGTGGATACTGCTTTGTCCTCACACAGTCAAACAACATACAGGTCACATGAACTGGAGGTTGTGCAACACTGATTCGTGTGTGTGATTTACAGTGGTCTCCTGACTTCTCCAGGTTGATTTTCTGCCCGATGCATACGACAAAAGGGGAGCCGTTTTTTTTTTAATCCTGAACGGGAGTCTGTGAATGTGCTTTGTACGGTGGCCCAGAAGTCTCACAACAAAACAAAAGCCACAACGCTACAAAATTAACCACAACACTACACAGTTAACTACAACACAACCAAATTAACCACAACACTAAAAAATTAGCCGCAACACAGCACAACGGCTGCAACGGAAGTTGTGTTTTTTAACCCGGAAGTTATACTGTGAAGTGCGCAATGCTACACGAAGTGGGCAGAAGCCGGAGATTGTTGGAAACAACTCGAAAGCAAGTAAAATACTGATAGTAAATAATGTTTAATCATTTCGGTATGCGCTATGACTGCTGTTGTTAACTTACTTTTGAGTTGTTTCCAACAATCTCCGGCTTCTGGCCACTTCGTGTGGCGTTGCGCACTTCACAGTATAACTTCCGGGTTAAAAAACACAACGTCCGTTGCAGCCGTTGTGTTGTGTTGCGGCTTATTTTGTAGTGTTGTGGTTAATTTGGTTGTGTTGTGGTTAATTTTGTAGTGTTGTGGTTAATTTTGTAGTGTTGCGGCTAATTTTGTAGTGTTGCGGCTAATTTTGTAGTGTTGTGGTTAATTTTGTAGCGTTGTGGTTAATTTTGTAGTGTTGTGGTTAATTTTGTAGCGTTGTGGCTTATTGTGTTGTGTTGTGGCTTTTGTTTTGTTGTGACACTTCTGGGCCACCGTGGCTTTGTAATTAGGCAGCAACAGTTATAAATATATCCTGTGTTTCTGGATGAAAGGAAATTAGAGAGGCTATCTTCTCATTTACATTTTTTTTTGTTTTTACCAGAAACTTTATAAATGTGATCAATGGAGTGCCTTCTGTAGTCTCTGCTTTATGAAGTTGAGAAGATTTTTTTCATTTTTAAGAGAAAATGGCCTTGTGGGATCTCTCAAAGCCTTCAGAAATTTAAGCTTTTTAGTTATTAGTACACACAGAACGTTTTAAGATGTGAAGACAAAGATTAGATTTCTGGAAGATTAGAAACACTAAATTCACTTTATACTGATTGCAGTGCTGTATTTTGTACAGTATTGTTTGCAAAAATTTTCTACTGTACTCACAGCACACTAGAATGACGTTGTTTTTGTCAATCTCTGTATTGTCACCCATATAACCGAGGCTGTAAAGCTGCCAATTTCAGCATTTCCTCATTGTTTAATGCACTGTTATGGCTGTAAAGAACGAATGTTTTCCTTTCATTGCTACGATTCTGTAAAAACAATGCAATCCAATAGTGTATTATAGTGACTAAATTGCTGATGCTGTAACTTTACAAGCCAACAACACAGACAAATAATGCTGGCTACAGCAATCTTAATGTGATAGCCTGGTTTGTGCCACTGAACGTTGCCACCTTACTGTTGCTGAGCCTTGCATAGATGAAAATGTTGGACCAGCTCCTGCACTCTAAGGGCTTTAACAAACAGTGTGCTTTAGATTATGCATGTAGTCAGTGGTGGGAGAAAGATTATGCAAAAGAAAGAACAAGGACAGACCTATTGAGCAATAAAGTTTGCCATGTTTTTCTGTCTTTTTTTGGTTTGTTTTTCTGCACTGTATAACACAATACCACCCGGCCTATTGTTCAGTTTTACATCTTTGACTGTGTTAGCAAAGGCACAGTAAAAAATAGAGTTTTTCTTCTGCTTTTGACTATCTTATTGAGTTTTTTAGGAAAATATTAAAATGTAACCCAAACTCCAGCTCTGGCTCAAGTAGTAGTAAGGGGGAGAGGGAGAGAGAAAAAAGCTCGAGACAGAAAGAGATTTGTCATTTCTAAGAAGACATGATGTTTTCTTGGCTGTAGTGTGGATTCACATCACTGGACCAAAGTATCCATTTTGTCCTTTTGTGTGAGGAACAAAATGACAGTGCTTACAACTGCTACTGCCACTAAGCATAAGAACAGATCGTCACTGTGAGCCTGAGGAGGATATTAAACAGGTTTTCTTATTTGGGAATCATTTATCCATCTGCAGCGTCACGCCTTGGCTGTGTATTTTACCCCGTGTCTATGGCGCCAGAGTCAACCTATGCAGTGATCAAACTGTTCATAACAGAATTTATTTCAGATGTTCCCCTCCTTGCTCATAATAAGCAGCCTGGAATGTAACGATCACACTCAAGATGAACGACATTGCAAAGGCACCACTTCAGCAATTAAGTAGTCTCTAATTGTAGATTGAACCAGAGCTTAGAAAAAGAAAATCATTGTCTCTTTTCCTTAATAACTCAAGTTAATTAAAGGACATTTGCTGAATTTTAATTAAAAAGTGAAATATACTCAATAACTTTAAACTGAAACCCCCTGTACAGCGAGTGAGAGAGCAAGAAAGCCTTTATCTTGTACACAATACTTTATCAAAGAATCACATATAAAAACACACTTCTTCCAAGAGAAAGCTTTAACTGTTATTTTCGTCCTCAGTGGTGGCTCCATCTGACTTTGACGCGTTAAAGCCCTCGACTACTAAGAACATTCGAGCAACAGAAATACACACCACAGCACACAGACCCTTAAATTTAAGATTAGAATGCAACACACACAATTCAAAAATATATCCTCTAATCTTGCAGTAGTTGCCTTTTTCTTGTTTTTTTTTTTTCTTTTCGTACAGTTAGAAAAAATACACAGTTAACTAGATTCACTGGGGGGAAATGCTTCAACAAAGTCACAAGTAATACTGTATTTTGCACCATGACGGCTTTGGATACAGCACAGCTCCGTCCTCGCTAAGCGTCTGCAGTGTCCTGTGTGCCATTAAGCATCTCGCGTGTGTTCACATGAGTGCTCACACACCCGAAAAGGTGAGGAACTCTGTGCCCCGCCAGCATCCTGAGGGTCGTATATACTCATATTGACATTTCCAGGATTCACCTCGCCGTTCTGTCATGTGTGCTCGCACGTCGTCACTTCAGGGAGGGGTGTCTGGTCCTGCATGACCACTTGAGGAGGGGTGGGAGCAGGGCGGGCGTGAGCCACCGAGTTCTTCTGCAGCTCCACCCCGAAGGCAGGAGGAGCGTTCTGCAACTGTCTCCTGTACTGCACAAAGCTGCAGGTCTTTAGGATGATGGCCAGGATGTTCTTTCCTATCAGGATCCCAGACACCCTGGCGTCCCTGTATAGAATCATGTTCCCCCCGCGGATGAAGAGCGTGATGATGTTGATGGTCACCAGGCTGAGGATGGGGTACAGGAGCATCTTGTGGGGCACGATGTTGATGCCCTGCATGCTGATCTCGCTCAAGGACACGCAGGGCAGCACGAGCAGCAGGATGTAGCAGTAGAAGAACATGAGCCCCTCAGCCCACAGAGGAAGCCCCTTCTTTTGAGGCTCCCACAGGTTCGCCTGGATGTCCAATATGTCCAGCAAGTCCACCACCACCCAGAAGAGACGATTCCGGATCTCCTCACGCTTCTTGAAGGCGCGGACATACTCCATGTGGTCGATGGCCACCAGCACCACAAACAGCACTGGGATGCAAATGGACAGCAGCAACGTCAACGCTTTCCTCGCAAGAGCGTCCAAGCTCTTCCTGTCCGCTTTGTAGTTTTGGTACACAAAGTAGACCTTGATCTCCAGCACAAAGATGTAGAGGAACCAAAGGATCATGGCGTAGCCTCGCTTGGCCGTGCGAACCTCGGCGCCCACCCACACTGCCACGTATCGCAGGACGATTAGGAAGCAGATGTCTCCCACCATCACCATGATGCAGATGCCAATCTTGCGAGGTCCATGGTTCTGCTCCACCAGGTAGGCATCAATCAGTGCCATGCTGCTCATGATCAGAATGGTGGACAGGCACACGTGGGGCTTGTTGGTGGGGGGTGGGGGTACCATCCTTGCCTGGATGAGAGGAAGAGGAGGAGGAGGAGTGCTGTTGAACAGGGAGTGCAGAGGGTCCTCAGTTTGTCCAGTGAGGAGGCAGATCAGATAGTGCTGCTAGACAGTGGTGTTCCCCTCCATTGCTTCTGTCTTGGCCAGAATCCAGGATGCATTAATAGGATTCACACAGATCACTTCAATCAATCTCCGCTTGTGCCCAAGCCACCTGCCGGGTAGACAGTACCCCTCATTTAGTAAATTATGTTCATTGGTAAATGGTCTGTAAACATACAGGTTCACTTGTCTGAAAGTTATTAAATCTCAGGACGTGCCTACCTTTTACAATGATTCATTGAACACAACAGTTCAATCAGTGAGTTACAATTTCTGTTATAAAAAGACAGAAGAAAAAAAAAAAGCTGCTGCAATGTGCTCTCATTACAGATCCACTCTCAACACCCTTGTTTTCATGCAAGCTTAAGCTTCAGAGATAAAAATCCAGCTGAATACTCACTTGTGTCCCTCTTTGTACTTTATCCTAATGACTGGCAGCGAGCGATCATCCATGAGACTGCACTGGGAGATCACAAAGCCCATCTGTAATCCACAGGAGAAGAGAGGAGAAAATGCAGGGGATCCTCTCCTCCTCTGACAGACATAAATCCACCAGTCATGGATAGGTCGCTTTCTTTCTTTCTCTCTCTTTTTTTTTTTTTCTTAAGTGAAAGAGAAATCCCAAAATGTTGCCGTCATAATCCACTTACTGCTATGACTGAATCAGTAGGAGGCATCTTACTGGTCACCAAGACAGCTCTCAATTTCTGCAACTAAGAATAGAGGTGATTCTGTGTTGTGCTTAGAAAGAGGGTTTAAAGGCCCAACTCCAAAAAAGATGAAAAAGTGTTAAAGTTGGGGGGAAAAAAATTCAAAATCTCTGCATTAAGTCCTTCTTAAAAGAGAATTTCCTCTCCAGAAGTTTTCCCCTTCATCATCCTCCATCCACGGACAAGAAGCTGAAACATTTTGTGTCTGTTGGGTTGTAGTGGATCTTTGAAATGCAGCGTGTGTCTCACTGTCCTTCCCCCGCTCAGCTGTTTGCATGTGTGTTTTCCCGTGTGTGTTCCAGTGTGTGTGTGTGCAGGTTTCAGCTGTCTCCACGCTTCGTTGTCGCTGTAAAATGCAGCCCCCCTGGTGAGATCCTGGCTGCTGCTCCGTTTTCTGTCTCCTGGTCAAGCAGCTATTTCTTTTTCCTTTTTTTTTTTTTTTTTTTTGCCAGGGACACCAGGATCAACAGCGCCAGTGGATTCCCCCGTCTCCACTAAGCTCGCTCTGCCAGCACCACCAGCGCTGTGATACTCCACCGCCGCCTGCCTCTGCCCGTCTGCCTCTGTGCGCTCCTCAGTCCTCTCTGCGAAGTCAGAGAGATGCTCCTTTGGTGCGTTCAGATGCACTCCTGAGATTTTTCTCTCTCCCTCTCCCTCTCTCTCTCTCAGAGCTCCCCTCCTCTGCCTTCTCCCTCTTCTGCTCAAGTAAAGGCACTTGCTGTGTGGAGGTGACGCTCAGCAGACCACAGCTGCAGAGAGAAGGAGAGAGAAAAGAGGTAGCGAGAGAGAGGGAGAGACACTTTTCCAGGGGGTGGAGAAAGGCGGGGTGGGAGGTGGTGATGGTGGTGGTGGGGTTGAGCCAGTGTTTTGCAGCTTAGCTGAATGCACAACTTCTCTCTCTCACCCTGTTTCCTCCCCCCCCCCCACTTCCTTCTCTTCTCTTCACATTGTGCCTTGTGCTGATATCCTATTTTCTCTTTTTCGTCTCCTCAGCTCCCAGAGAAAGCGTCAGCTTCCTTCTCCTTTGAGAAGCCCATTACGCCGCCACGCAGTTATTTCTCTCGAGTTTTTCGAGGTGCCGAGATGAAAAGTGATCCAGAAAGCAGAGGAGATGCTCTCCAGTGTTGGATGTAGGAAGCCAGCTTCCCAGAAGGCTGTGTGTCTGCAGTCTGGGGAGACATGGAGGGGGGGGGAGTGGGTGAAGCGTGCAGCGGCTCCTCCTGACAGAGAGCCTTTCTATTGATCTACCGACAGAGCAGTGAATCAGGAGACTGACATGGGGACCAGAGACCAAAAGAGATGGGGGGGTAAAGGGGAGACGGGGAGGTACAGATGTGGAGCAAGCGAATGAGAAGGAGGGAAGAAGACAAGATGAGGAGGCAGAGTGATGTGATGTGATGAGAAGAGAAAAAAAAAAATAAGACACAAGAAGATGTGCTGGGTGACTAAATGTCAGGGGAACATTTTTATCCTCTGAGATGTGATAATGCCTGGGCTGGGAGATAGGCAAAAATGATAAAGGTAGGAAAAGGTTGATGTGTTTGCTTTGCCATGCAGTATGCTAACACCACTAGCAGTGTTTATCCAGCTGGGCCAATTAGGGATAATCCTTCCTCGGAGGAACCAAACTGCTTTCATTACTACAGTATGAAGCCATTTACTGCTCACTTCATGAATTGCAGTTATTGAAGAGTCAAAAGTATTGGCGGTCTTGGTTGCACTTTTCATCCAAATGCGCGACGACAACTGAACATAATTGCAATCAATCATGGCATCTTTTTTTTTTTTTTTTTTTTTGCAAACATGAATGGATGTGGTTACAAATTTACCAGCTGCGGATCAGCTGACAGCTGCCATCATGGCTGTTTACGGCTCCTATCATGCCTTTATCGTGGCAGCATATGAAGGCTTCATGTCTGGAAAATGAAGTCAAGTGAAGCAGCCGTTGGCCTTTCAGCTGCTTGCTTATTGACTATTTCCTCTGGATTTATCGACCATAATTGAGCCATGACAAGTACGGTGATGAATTATATCCTTCTTTGCAAATTGTAAAATTGGCGTTCCTTCAACAACATTTTTTAACAGTCGTTATTAAACACATGGCAGACTTCAATTTAATACCGACTGGAGCTGTAATGTTACAGCAACGCATTTAACAGATTGTTCAAGGAGGTGCTTAGAAGATCGTTGTGTAATCAGAGGTCACAGGTCTGATCCCTGTGACAGGCAGCGCTCCCATTAACAGCCTTGTGTCCTTGAGGCAGACGCTGAACTGTTACCTTCTTACTCCTTCACTCAGAGTCACTCCGGGCAACAGCATCAGCTAACCTCTAAATTGTGAATGTAAACCAGCTGATGGCTTGTCTCTTCCACAAGGGAACAGCCCTGCGATCTTAATAGTTTCACTCCCCCCCCCTAAAATCAGTATGGCAGATTGATACAGCACCTCTATTATCTACTTTGTTATTCCTCCCACATCTCGTCCACTAATCTATAATTTATATCTTCATTTACATCCATTTTGTGATATACAATGGAGTGCAGGACTGCGTTAATCTCTCCATTAAAAAAGGCAGTTAACCTGGATTCGGACTTTGGATCACATCTGCTGAATATCTTCATTTGCACATGCTCAGCATTTCCTCTTTTGTCTTCTCCCACTGTGTTTATAATTCATGAGAGCAGACGAAACCCCGTCACTGTCTTTTAAGGCTATTGTCTGTTTTAAAACTGATTTATGCACGCTTTTATGTTTTTTTTTACAGTCAGCTGGTGTCAACTTCCTCAGTGCTGATTAATGTAATTATAATGTTGTACTAATACAATGCTGTATTTTAGGATTTATGAGATTTTTAGACAGCAAAAGTACAAGCAGGAGTCTTGTCTGTCCTCTGGTGCCCTCTCTCCTTGGTCCATCAGGCTCTGCTCAGCCTCCTACAGAGGACCGTCCTTGGCTCTTGGACAGGGACACTGCATCATCACTGTTCAGCTCCAGGCGAGCTAACACACAACAGATAGCAGACGATAAAACAGCAGCCACATTCTCTTTAACATCATGTCGCATCTGAGGCAGAGAGGAATCAAAGAACTCAAAATAAGGGAAACCATGGCGCGGCTGCACTGTAACTACCTCATCCTGGCTTTCAGAGCTGCTACTTAAGTGCCTCTGTTTTGAAAAAAAATAAAAATAAAATACTCAGTTCAATGTCTTTGCCTTTAAATGTGATACTTTCCTTTATGGAAATCTTTTCAACTTGCTTTCATAGAGCACAACACTCCCACATTTTCAGAAAATCCTCGATTGACAACCGAGTGCAGTAGCCAGAAAAACATGTTTTCTCATCTTGTCAGAAAAAATATCATGGGAGGAATTCAACCCTGCAAGCTGCCCCTTGAACTTAGCTTAAATGTGAAATATGGTTTCCAAACAGCGTAGTTAGAGTAAAACCAAAATGCACTTTAACATTGTAGTAAGACTGAGCTATCAGTCACAGTTTCTCCTTTTGGCTGATTGCAATTGCTAGTCAATCAGGAGCCCATTCTTCTGTTTATAGCCCCTTCTTCACTGCATATTTTCACTGTTTCTGTCTTTACTGTCAACAGGCAATTTTTATATCTTTGCAAGAAATCAAATATCTACATGGCATTTATCAAAGGATCTCATTTGTCAGCTGCTACTTATCACTTTTCTGGTGCAGCATTCAAACACAATGCGCAGCTTTCTGACACAATCTATGTTTATTGCCTCAATGTTCCCGTAGAGAAGCCCTGAGAGGAGATATTAATGCGCACCTAAGTGCTGCAGGTTGGCATAATTACAAAGGTATGCATCACTGAATGAATAGGCTGATTTGATTTGCTTTGTGTTTAGACTGCAGATGATTTACTTAAGAGTCAAGAGTGGAGCATGATTAATTTCACTGTGCTACGCCACATGAAATCCAAACAGAAATACCTGCCCATTAGAGCTATCATGAGACTTATCGCTGTGTTTTGACAAGAAAATGCAGGTGGAACGCTTCCATCTTTGTCTCCAGATTTGATGTCGTTACACGTAGGGAGTGGGTGTTAAGCAGCAAAATTAAGTTTCAGTTCAACATGTCATGATTTGCAGGTGTTGTAAGTGGGGGGAGGAAAAAAAAAAAAAGCCCTGGACACAAACATGGATTAATCGCTGGGGTTTGGCAGCCA